GCATGTGCGAGCAAACACCTAGTATAAGTATATTTTAGAATATTTGGTTAATTTACATCTATAATTTAAAAAGAGAGTGCAGTTTCTATAGAAAAAAAAAGACAATTAAAAGTTTGAACCACACATACTTAGATTTTAACTACTCTCATGTAAGTACGAGATCTTCTACTTATCATCATCGCTTATCATTGAATTTTATATTTTATTATTTTTTGTACGAAAGTTAACAAATATATGATTCAACTGAATCTTACTGCAGTAGTAAAAGATAGTATAACTGTTAAAAAAAGAATCCAAATAATTAATATTCAAAAGAAACACATAAAAAGCAATGGAAAATAGAGATTTATAAGTTATTAAAAAGATAGAGACCCAACGCTTAAACAACAGGTTGGCCCTAAAGCAAAATGGAATAGAAGAGATCAGTCTCAGTGATCAACATTGAGTATTAATTCACACTCGTGAGACTAAAGCAAGTGGCCGCCCTCCTCAACTCCTTCTCTCCTATTTCATCTATAGGTTCCTTCAAAGATTCACCAGAGCTGCAACAACCAAATAAGTCAGACGTGTTCTCAAATTTTCTGACTTTTTTTTAGCTCTATACAAAGAGAAAAATACATTACCTTGAAGCGTACACTTCTTTTGTTTCCGTGAAAGAATGACTTTCATCGATAATTTCGAGGAATTGATGGATTTCATCATAGTTCTGATCAACATCAACTTCTTCCTCTTGTTGATTTGATGCCATCTGAAGATTAACAAGTTGAGACTGTATAGCCATCACACTGTTATTGTTCTTCGTCTCACTACAATGCTCGTTTTGATTGATGAATCCATAGTTATGATGATTATAAGGAAATTGATTCTGACCCCAAGCCAAAGAAGCATTATGATTGTTGAGAATTTCCTTACTTGAATCCGGACTTGGATTGTAGTCATTGTTATTAGATTCGTTGCAATAAGACATCTGAGGTTGCAGCTGTGCTTCAGAAACCTGACTGAAAAACGGTATTATATTACCTTGGTTATTATTGTTAACCGGAAGTCCCATTCCCAAATCAAGCTGTGATGTAAGATCTTCATGCTTCTCACCAATCTCATGAATCATCATATTATTAGGGTTAGCATGATTCTGACCATTGCGATAGAGTTGTAATTGTGAATTAACGGCTTTGAGTTCTTCTTCGGCTAGCCAGATCATGTATTGGAGTTGTTGCGTGATACCAAGGCAACCATGGACAGGGTTACGATCTCGGACATAAGACTGGAATATAATCGATTTCATCGCTTCGGGTCTCTGGACTTCGTCTAGGTTCTCGAGTATTTTAACGATGCTTCTAACTCCAAAAAGCCTATGAACGTTTTGGAAGAGCTTTGGTTGTTCTGCCGGGAAGTATGGCGCGAGTGGGCAGTCCGCAGCGCAGCGTCTGCGTTGGTACTTGCATGCAGCACAAGCACCACTCGTGCCACCTTTCAGTGTCATGTAAACTATGAGAGAGATCAAGAGAAGATCAAAAAATCTCTCTAGTGACCCAATGGGATTGTGGATGGTTTTTATTTTGCTCATTCGATGGGGAAGAAATCAAAAAGGAGAATGAAAAAAAAGAAACAGAGATTGAGGATTTTGATTGAGATGAACGTGTGAATGGTTTTAGGTAGATGAGAAAGGAAGGAGAAGGAGTGGGGTATATAAACCGAATTTAGCTGAGTGTGGAGAAGACAAAGCAAATAAAAGATAACTACTATTAAGATTGTAAAGAGAAAATTAAAAAGCAAACGAATTTTTAGGAGCAGTTTCTCATTTATGATTAATTTTTATTTAGATTTTGAGTTTGTTTTTTCTTTTCTAAGAATAGAGTCACTTGAAAAATAGTTGTTTTCAAATCTTCCACTTAAAATAGAGTTATATAACAATGGAATCTTATTTTTTTCGATACTAGAGAGAGACAGATTTTTTTTAAAAGTTAATTTTGGATTAATAATTTGTACAATTTTGATTTAATAATTTGTACCTCATGAAAAAAGGGTATTAGATTTTCAATTTGATTATGTCTTCTTTGATCATATTTAGTTTGACTAAAAGAATCCAAAATAAATTCGAATTGATTAAAATATTATTTTTTCTATTAAAATATTCTTTTGAGTTATGTTAGATTATTTGAGTTTCAAAGTAAAAATCTCCTATATATTAATTGAGAAACATTTGAAAAGTTGTAATCTTAAGTTTATATTAATTAAAAATAACCTCATCATACGTGACACTTCTCTATGCCTTATATATCAATTTAGAAGGATTATAGAGCATGTAACATAATATATAGTCTAAAAATTATACTCTCTAACAATATAAGAAATTCTATATTTATCTAATCTATTAATATATTGGTTTTTATCTACTACTTAAAGTTCTCATTTAAATTTGGACTCTTTCATCGTTGTTACTAGAATATATCATTCCTCCTATAAAATACAACCTACCAACTTAATAAAAACCAAGTCTTAACCGATGTAGATCAATTGAATTTAATTAATTACATCTTTAAAATATTTTCGTTATCTCCTAATATAAATAGATTGTACAAAACCGAACCATAGGAGAAAAGATGTCCAACTCATTTATAACGTGTTTTCCATACAAAGATTAATAAGAGGTTCAACATATTATATATATGTCAAATATATATATATATTACACAAAAATATATATAATATTATATACACGTATTATATATAACATATATTAAAATTAAAAATTGACAAAATAATTTCCATCCTTTAGGGTGGGTTAGAATCTAGTTTTTAATTAAAAATAAGAGTTCTATTTTTTATCTATCTACAAATAGTCTAGGTTGGTCCATTTAATTTATGTAATTTTTTGATATTTCGTATATAACAAACTTAATTATATTAAATATATATTATCTTAATATATTATTTAAATATTTTCAAAATAAGATATCAAAAGATATTACCAAATATATTTTCTACTATTGCATTCTGACAAAATATTTTAATATCTTTTTTTTATCTAAAATAGAGATATTTATTGTTTTAATATTTATTTTAATATTAGAAATTCATAATTATTTTAAATTTTATTACAAATAAATATTAGTTCATTTTAATTTATAAAATAAAAATACCATTTCTATAATGTTTATATATACATAATTCATACATAATTAAATTATTACAATAAGAAAAATATATAACATAATTTAATTACAACTATTTGATAGATTATAAATTAAAATAATCAGATATGCATGATAACATATATTTATACAGTTTACAACATATTTCAGTTTATTATCATTGCCAATACGAGTTAATGTTTATTGAGAAAATTACTAGAATGTCATAGAAAAGTTGGTATATTACTAGAATAATATACATTTTCTAAAAATTACTAGAATATTTTCAGATTCCTAGTAAATTACAATAAACACCCTTATTTAATTTTGTTACTATTGATACAAATTTTAATTATTAAATCCACATCATAATTATGCAATCCACATCACTAATTTGTGTCATCAACAGTTATACTGGAAAATCAACCGTCACATATCTCCGGTGAATAAAAAAAAGTCATAATGTATGTTCGAACCGAGTTCGATCATTTTAGTGAATGAGTGACTGGACTCGTCTGTGGGTTATTTCAAAGGCGTTATTTACTATTTAGAGTCTATGAACGGTTTTATTAATGAGAGAGTTTGGTTACAAATGAGGAAAGGTGAGGTGAGGCAGAGTCTCGCGGGGAGCTCAGCCATGCCGTACAAGTCGGAAAGAAAGTAAAAGAGTGAAAACCCTAATTCTAGCCGCCTTGTGAGTGAGAGTAATTTTGGATCCCTTTCCTTGTTGCCTCTTCTTTCCCTTTTATAGCGATAATGCCAAGACCTAGCGAACTGGTCGCAAGTTTGGAAGCCTTTTGCCAAATGGGCCTCGATCGGCCCGCGAAGGTGAGCACTCTGCCTAAACGTCCTTAACTCGGCTAATCACAGGATTATCCAAGTTAAGCTTGATTATATGTTGATCGCGGCTGGATTACCTCGTCGGGCCAGAGCTCGTATGAGCCGGGCCCATTATTTAGTGGGCCTTGTAAAGGGGAGTGTTCCACCACCAATAGTAAGCCCCCCAGACTCGTTCCTAAGTTAGGACTTGAGTTGGGACGGGTCTTGTCTACTTGGTCTATTTGAATAATGGGTTAGACCAATGAGCTTCGGTGCTTCGACTTCGCATGTTTATCGAGTCGTTAGCTCGGAGCTCTACGTCGATGTATTTCCTGAGTCGTTAGCTCGGAGTTTAACTTCGATATGTTTTTGAGTTGTTAGCTCGGAGCTCTACTCGATGTGCCTCCTAAGTCATTAGCTCGGAACTTAACTTCAGTATGTTTGTCGAGTCATTAGCTCGGAGCTCGACTCGACGTGTCTTCTGAGTCACTAGCTCGGAGGGTCCTCGGGTTCTCTTTCGCGTAAAAAGGGGGTGTGAAAAGTTGAAGAGAGGCGAACGGTCTTTCAGATGTCGAGGCCCATTTAGGTCGGAATTTGAACAGTCACGAATAGATTGAAGGCCCAATTAGGCCTCGATAGACCTAATTAATGACTCCGGGAATCGCACCCCTTCTCTTCCAATAAATACTTCTCTTCTCTTCATTCTCACCACTTCTCCTTTTTCGCAAGTATTTCTTCTGTCCCTTCTCTCTACTTTCTCTCTAGGTTGTTGTACGATATAAATTTTTCTGTCGATAAGATGTGCCCGCAAAACAGATTGACGCGTGAGGAAAAGGGGAAAGGGGTCGCTACCGCCTCGAGTCCTGCTCGGGATGAAACAACCGGCAAGCCCCTGGATGATTTTGGCCTAGAGCACTAGGAGGCGTTGAGGGATTAGGCCGGTCTTGACCTAGCTCAGAGGCTTTTGGTCGTCGACTCAGAGAGGAAGCTTAGGGCCGAGGATGATGGAAATTTTGCCGCGGAAATAATGAACGATCCGCGAGTAATCCGTCCCAGGTCTTCACCGCCTCGTAGGTCTCGCCCTCCTCAGTCCGAGCGGGCGCCAGCTCGGAGGAAGAAGATCCTCGTCCAAAGATTCCAACGCGTTACAGCGGCATGGGGGTCTTCGAGCGGGAGTCCGCAGTTCCTCAAGAGATGCTCCGTCCTGCTGGGACGCAGTTTTGGGCGAAGACCGAGAAGACAAAATCGACTGTAAAGTCAGTGGAGGCTCTCCTCGTAGCTCGTAACGCTGTAGGCATTACCTACTTGATCCCAACTGCGGATCAACGCCCGTGGTCTCCTCCGATTGGATATCAATGCGTCTATGAATCTTATTTCGAGGACGACACGAAGCTTTGATTTCCGTTGCCTCGCCTCGTGACGTTGTACGTTTCGCACCAGGAGGTCGCCTTAAGTCAATTAGTGAACGGGGCGTTCCGCATCATTGTTGCGCTTATGGTCATGGCTGCTGAGATCAGAGTTTCCTTGTGTGTGTACGCGTTCGAGCAGCTGACGACTATATCTCGGTTAAACCATCATCACTGGTCATCCGGACAAGACACCGAACTGGCAACGTTCCTACTTCTTTGTTAAGTTTGACCAGTTCGCCTTCGTCGATCCTCCTAATGATGAGTTTAGGACTTACTGGAAAAGTGTAACAGGTAGTTAGCTTGTCTCGATCGCTTTTTATATGTTCTTAGTCTGATCGTGTGCCCCTTTTTTTGTGTAGAGCCGCATTCCAACTTCTACCTGACTGACGCTGCTGTCCCGCCTTCGTTTCTTTGTACTGCTCGAGCTTTGGTGGAGTTGGGTCATAGCAAGTGGCCTGATATAAGCGCGGAGAGGATACAACGCGCGTTGGATCGCATTAACCGGGGTAAGAAAAAGCATGCTCGAACCCTCCCCTATCTTTTGTTCGGCATCTTTTCTTAAGTTGCTGCTTATGCAGGTTATTGGGAGAAAGAATTTTGGTACGGGACTAAACCTGGAAGAAAAAATCGAATATTTTCTCCAAGGAAGAGCAGCGAATTATTAAGCAGGCATTCGCGATGAAAGAGCTTCTGGATCTTTCTAAAGCCCTTGAGGCGAGGCGAGGTGGGTCGTCTCAAGGCAACGCGTTGATGGGGGTGATCAACAGCTTCGACCTTGGAGGGGGAGCGTCGGGCAGTGACTCAATTCCTCCGCCTGTGGGGAGTGATTTAGCAGATGCCTCGGATCCGTCAACCGGGGGTCTCAAGAGGCAGCGGACTGAAGAAGCAGATGGTCAGGTCCCTGGACTTGATGTGGTTGACGATAATCCCCCCCCCCCCCCCGAGGAATCTCCGGCTAAGAAGAAGAGGAGAAAGAAGAAGTCTAAACCAGCCGAGGATGGATCCGCGTCTACAGATGCTCTGAGTGCTGGTGACGACGCGGATGCTGGTCGTCCTTCCGAAGAGGAGGTCGAAGAAGGTCGGGAGCTCGCCGTTGTGGATGCAACAGGCGAGGACCCTCTGCTCGAGCAGGGAAAGACTCTTCCTGATGATTCGAAACATAAATGGAAGAAGACGGGCAAAGAAGAAGAAGACGGCGCAGGAGA